TTCATTTGAAGTCAGCGCAACCTGGGTTACAAAATTTGTATTTGATAAAAGCAAGCAAATTTCACATGGCTTACCATTGATGCCAAACCCTGAATCAGGACTAAAAATCCACTGGTTGTGTTCATAACGACATGTTGCAGCCAAACAAAATAATTTGTAATAGGACAAGATTCATTGGGGATCAGAGCTGGAGAAATTTCCTAACAGTGAGAGCAGTAAAATCAATGGAACAACTTGACTCCAGAAGTTGTGTGTGCTCCAATACTAGAAGTTTTTAAGAAGAGTTTGGACAACCATTTGTCTGAAATTGTATAGGGATTCCTGCCTGAGCAGGAGGTTAGACTAGAAGACCTCCAAGGTCCCTTCCAACTCTGTTATCCTGGTATCTTTCATATGAGGACATATTGAATTAATTGGAGTTTCTTAATTTAGAAGAAAATATAAGAAAGGCTGCAATCGCACAAGAGTTTCCACCAGACACTAAACCTGGGTTACTAAAATACAATTATGTTCTCCATCACATTATGAGTTATCTTAACCATCTAATTCACCTAAAGGTTTGTCAACGACTAGATTCCAATAAGAGTCTAAACTTCAAATTACCCAACCTTATTTTAGCTTAGTTTATTGTGTTTATCCACCCATGTGCCGCTCCTGGAATGACTACGGAACAATCTTGGCCAGTTCATGCCTTTAAGTGAGGTTGTATAGGACACAGTTTCAACAATGAACCCATTGTAAATCTACTTTCAGCCCCCATTTTAGCCTTGCTTCAACCCCAGGGAACCGAGGGCTGGTGCAACCAGTTTTTCCTATTTTCAGCAGAAGCCAGGTGTGCAAGTTAATTGTCTGGCCATGTGATAACCGCACTCCCCCCATCTGTGCAATGCTTCCCATTCAAAGGCAGACGAACAACGCACAATGAAACAACACAAAATAAAAACACCCAGAGTGTTAATAATGAACCAGACCATGTTAAATTACGGCTATTTTAGGTTTGCTTGGACTTAAGATCAAGAATTATTATGATTAACCTAGAAAGCACAAAATACTTACATTGATGTCATTTTTTAAAAAAGTCAAACATAAATAAAACTCCTGGGTGATAATAGAGGTAGACCTCTCGACTTATGACCATAATTGAACCAGTGGTGGGATTCAAATTTTGTTACTACCGGTTCTGTGAGCGTGGCTTGGTGGGCATGGCAGGGGAAGGATACTGTAAAATCTCCAGTCAGAGGTGGTATTTTCCGGTCCTCCTACTCAAAATCTCTGCTACCGGTTCTGCAGAACTGGTCAGAACCTGCTGAATACCACGCCTGAATGTTCACTTAACAGCTGTGGGAAGAAAGGTCGTAAAATGGGGCCTTAATTCATTTAACAAATGTTTTCACTTAGCAAACAAGAAATTTTAGGCTCAATTGTGGTCATAAATCAAGGACTACATATATATATATAGTAGCCGAAACCTGTTTGCACATCCTAAGAGTGCTCAGATTAGCAGATTATAGAGTGGGTGTCAGCATGGCCTTGGTAGACAGTTCCAAAGTTTGGGAATAGCAGATTCTAGTTTACATCTATCCATCTAATTTTGGCTGAAAGAAGAATTTCTCTTCCGAATATTGATACCTGGGGCGGCTTCTATGCAAGGCTACTGTATTTCAAGTAGGCTGGCTTTTAAGTCAATTTCCCCCAAATTCAGCCTTTCATGGATCAACACTCACTTTCTGTTTTCTATCCATTTCACCTGGAAATTGCAGGCATGTGTCTGATTCAAAACAAGACACACACCATCAGTGTAATTCAGCTCTCAGAGACAAAATTGAGCAACTTAGAAGGTGATAATATTTACATACCAGTTTGAGATGTATTAGAGACTTAAAGTGTTATAGATGTCAAATTAGATAGTCTCGGTTAATTATGGAAAGGTGTAATTCTCCTCACCCTGGTCTCACCTTTGGCAGTAGAAACTAACCTGCCTTGATTTTTAAACAATGATAACATATTTACTACCTAGCTGGCAATAGTCCAAGTATTTTCACAAGATACAAAATTAAGATACAATTTCCAGTTGTAACGAACCACAGATTGGGAGGGGAGGGGATATGGAAGAGAGAGAGACACTGGAGCCTATCAGACAAATGATGATCTAAAACTTTTTATATTACTCAACAAGGAAGGTAAAGAGGAATAGTGATCTTCCTTACCTGCTTATTTTCTTTGGATGCACCGTGAGTACAGGTAGTCCTCAACTTACAACACAACTGAGCCCAACATTTCTCTTACTAAGTGAAACATTTGTTAAGTGAATTTTGTCCCATTTTATGACTTTTCTTGCCACCGTTGTTAAATGAATCACTACAGTTGTGAAGTTGGTATCATGGTTGTTAAGTGAACCTGGCTTCTCCATTGACTTTGCTTGTAAGAATGTCGCAAAAGGGGATCACATGACTCCAGGGACACTGCAACGGTCATAAATCTGAATCAGTTGCCAGACGTCCAAATTTTGACCACGTGGCCATGGAGATGCTGCAAGGGTTGTAAGTGTGAAAAATGGTCATAAGTCACTTTTTTTCAGTGCTATTGTTAACTTTGAATAGTCACTAAATGAAATGTTGTAAGTCAAGGACTACCTGTACAATTCCACCATTTGTCCAATTCCTATCCAGAAAAAGCAGGTAGGGCATTCTAAGAGAAAGAATGGGTGAACAATGGGAATCAAAAAAAACCCCTACCAATAATTGTTCGGTGTTTGAGAGAAGAAAATGTTGATTGATTGTAAAGAGGGCAGCAGCTGTTCCTAGTGTCTTCTGGTCACTCAACCACGTCTCCTTGGAATGTGGTAAAGAACAGATTTACTGTAAGTCATGAAAGACACGGCCACTTCGTTTTCTGCCCTGATCCCTTGAATCCCCGCTCTGGGCCAAGTAATGGTTTGTTCCTTTCGTGCCATCCAGAAAGAACATATTTCTCAGCAAGAAGGAATGATGGTTACTTCTTAGCTGCTCTCTCCTTCTGTGGATACTTCATCGTAGGCTCATCCTCTCCCTTTGGCAATGCAGCAGAATTGGGATTTGGCACAGATACCCCCAAAGGAAATGAAAAATCTTCTTGCCTTCTGCCTGCTCATTCAGCTTCTCAGTTCGAAGTGGGAGAGGAAATAAATGAACAACATGCAGAAGCTAACAGAATAAAAGAGTTGGAAGGGACCTTTGGAGGTTTTCTAGTCCAACCTCCTGCTTAGGCAGGAAGCCCTATACCATTTCAGACAAATGGCTGTCAATTTCTTCTTTAAATTTTCCAGTGCTGGAGCACCCACAATTTCTGTAGGAAAGTTGTTTTACTGATTAATTGTTCTGTCAGGAAATTTCTCTTTAGTTCTAAGTTGCTTCTCTCATAGATTAGTTCCCAACCATTGCTTCTTGTCCTGCCCTCAGGTGTTTTGGAGAATAGGTTGGCCCACTCCGTTTGTGGCCGTCCTTTATACAGTATATTGGAACATTGCTATGTTACCCCTAGTCCTTTTTTTCATTAAATTAAAATACCCAATTCCTGCAATTGTTCTTCCTATGTTTAAGCCTCCAGACTCCTAATCATCTTTGTTGCTCTTCTCTACATTCAACTCTCAACATCTTTTTTACATCGTGGTGACCAAAGCTGGATGCAGTATTCCAAGTGTGGTTTTACTAAGAAGGCATTATAAAGTGGTATTTTCATGTGATCTTGATTCTATCCCTCTGTTTATGCTGCCTAGAACTGTGTTGGCTTTTTCAGCAGCTGCAGCACACTGCTGGCTCATATTTCGGTGACTGGGCACTAGGACTCAAAGTTCTCTCTCACAGAGTGGTTTTCTCCCTCTCTTGCAATAAAGTACAGGCTGGGTGGTTCCAATCATCACTACCAATATTACCCGGAGTGGCAGCTCTGGAGGCTGAGTGAAAAAACCCGGTTGCCCATTCTATGCCCCCTCATTTCAGAAAGTTCATAACAAAGCACTCTGGCCATCCATAGTTCAAGGATCATCATTTGCTCAGCTGAGACATTTTTCAGGTTTTGCACAACACATGAAACCATAGGCTGACCACAACCGATGGATTGGCAAAGCATGGTAAATAAATGCAGATGGTTAAGTTCACAGAGCATACAGTCGCTTGTGCAAATTCAGCTTCTCTTCACAGCTATGTAAATAACACAGTCATTATTACTAAGAGCCACCTTGATGTAGTGGTTAAGGCTACCTATAAAGGCTAGCACTTCAGAGAGCCATTATCTTCTACTCGTTGCAGAACACCTCATGCCACCAGACTCGAAATTCTAGACCTAGAAAATCTAGAACTATGTCGCCTTCAGTCCGATCTAAGTATAGTATATAAAATCATACATTGCAATGTCCTACCTGTCAGTGAATACTTCAGCTTCAACCATAACGATACAAGAGCACACAATAGATACAAACTCAAGGCTAACCGCACCAAACTTGATTGCAGGAAGTACGACTTCAGCAACAGAGTGGTCAATGTCTGGAATACTCTACCTGACTCTGTGGTTTCCTCCCCAAACCCCAAAAACTTTAACCTTAGACTGTCTACTATTGACCTCACCCCCTTCCTAAGAGGTCTGTAGGGGGCGTGCATAAGCGCACCAACGTGTCTACTGTCCTTGTCCTATTGTTTTATTTTTCTTATATGTATCAATTTCATGTATTCATAATTGTTTATACTTATACTTGTTATCTTATAATCGCTTGGCAAAACAAACAAATAAACAAATAAATAAAAATCTTCTAGATAACGTTGAACTACAACCCCCACAATCCTCAGCCGCAAGGGTCCTGGCTCCTAGAAATCCACGTGAAATCCGAAAACCATTAAAAGGCAGCCCGCGCTCCGCTACGGGCGCAGGTAATAGCTGTAATCGAAGGAACTGGCAAGGGCTATTGGTCACGGAGCGATGACGAAAGGAGCAGGCATCTTTTCATTGGTCGAGAAACGAGAGAAGTGGCCAATAGGTGGGCAGAGCGCCGGCAGCTGTAAGGAATGGAGTCGCAATCGCCCGATTCGGATGCGAGCGTCGATGAGTCTCTCTTCGCTCTCTTGCTGGACCTGGGGATTCCCGAGGCTGCAGCGCGGAGGGTGGGTCGCTTTTATCGGTGGATCGGGGATCCGGCGCGGGTTGGGATCCATTCCGTCTGGTTTATTTCTAACGCCCCCCCCCCGTCTCCTCCTCCTCCTCTTTCCTTGCCTCCAGGCTCTGGCGCTCACGGGAGGTCATTCTGCTGAAGCGGCGGCGCAGCTTTACTTCAGTAGCGGTCTCGATTCCCAGGTATCCGCTTGCGATCTTGATTTCCGGTTCTGATCCAGTTAAAGATCGGTTTCTGGCCTAGCTTCCTTTTTAAAAAAACCCCGTAGGCACCATCAGGCTAGAGCCTGAAACGCGATCACCCGCAAGTCTGCCTTAACAAATGATTTGACGAGGTTTGGGATTATGATCAAATGCTTTTTATTTACGCCCTGCCAGGGGCAGAAGTATTTAGAGATGATAGCTCTAAAAGGATTCACATATTTGTAGGGATATTCTTAGATGCTAGAATATGAATGATTTGAAATGTAGTTCAAGGTTTGAATTGCATACATATTCTGATTAAAGGGCTGCATCATTGTATATGCATATTTACATCACAACACACTCACACAGACTTAAATTTAGTTTAAATGACAACATTCAATCTTGCTTCTACCAGGAAATCTTTGTCCTCTGAATTTTTCAGAATGTAACCTCTCAGTTTTCTATAGAAGCAAAGCTACCAGTATTTATGTACAATTATTTCAGAACCAATTTAGGATTCAGCAATACCAAGGCCTTTTTTAAAAAGGGCTTATGAATTACGCGTTCCTTGAGAATCATCTATTCTTCCTGGAGTGGCAGAAAATACTTCTCCCTGGCCCCAGGAAATAATTATGATTAGGAATAATTATATTGATGGACTGGAATCATATAGGCTGTAAGAGTGCAGCAGATATGATACGTGCATTAATTGCTTGAAACTCATATAGTGAAACCCATTTAATGTAATGTCTGTAATATATGTTTCACGCAGTTAACATGCATATCATATTTGCTGTACTCTTGCAGCCTGTGCAATTACAGTCCATCAGTATAATTGTATGATTTTATGTATGTATGTATGTATGATTTTTGTTAATATGAACAAACTTGTCCACAACTCCAACCTATAAGGTCCAGGATTCAAATATTGTTGCCACCGGTTCGGTGGGCATAGCTTGGTGGGCGCACTTTGTGCAGGTGCAGAGGCATTCTAACTCGCACTCCTGCAAGCCTGCACGATCCCAGTCTCTTCAACAGCTGCCGCGCCGAACTATTCTGTGCCGTGCAAAGCAGCTGCGCTTCAAATTCCACAGATAAAAGTGAGTATGGGAGCTCAGGTGGGCAGGCAGGCCCAACAGCAAAGCAGCTGAGAGAACCGGTTTGGTCTCCGGTGCTCATCGCTCCTACTGGCTCGCCAGAACCAGGCCAAACCAGTCAAATACCACCACTGATAAGGTCCCTGAAGTTGGGAGATAAGGCATGCTGTAAACTAACCCTTCCACTTGCATATTGTTCACTGTTTAGTTGTGTAGTGACTGTGTAGGGTATATACTCTAGTAACTGTGAATGTCCGGAATTAAGCACAAGAGTGATCACAACCATTAATGGATTAGACATAACCTGTTCATAAGTAGAGGAATTTTTCTACTGTGGTGTATGAGATTAATAACATTGTAGTAGTGCCAGCTGTTTTGCTGATGGGGTGGTTGGAATACAGGTAGTCCTCGACTTACAACAGTTCATTTAATAACCGTTCAAAGGTATTGAACGGCAGTAAAAAAAATAAAAGTGACATCATTTTTCACACATATGACCATTGCAGCAGCCTGATGGTCACATCAAAATTCAGATGGCAGGCAACTGACTCATACTTATGAAGGCTTCAGTTTCCCAGGGTCATTTCGCAACTTTGACAAACAAGGTCAGTGGGGAAGCCAGAGTCACTTAAGAACTGTGATGCTAACAGCTGCAGTGATTCACTTAACAGCCATGCCAAGAAAGAAAAAAGAAAGGTCATAAAATGGGACAAAACTCATTTAACAACAGTCTTAGCAACCAATTTTGGGCTCAATTGTGGTCGTAAGTTGAGGACTACCTGTACTTCCAATTGTTCTTTTAAGGAACTCAAAGTAGTGTCCACAATTGTTTTTGTTCCTCTGCACATTATCCCACTGATCTATGAGTAAGGTAGACATAGAGCTGGTGATTGGCCAAGGATTATCCTGTGAACTTCATGGATGGCCAAATATTTAAACTTGGGTATCCCCAGTCATAGTCTGACACTTTAATATCCATCCTGTGTACTTTATTACAACAGGAAACTTTATTACTGTCAAAATATTTTTTCAGGATGAAGATGAGGCACAGGGCAGTGATGTCAATCTTCTCCCAAGCAGACACCACAAGATGGTCTTTGTGGTAAACATGGAACTCTCCATGGGAACTGGAAAGGTAAACTCTCTTCAGGGTATTATTGTCTTCTAGCCTTTCAAACTGGCCTTAGTTTTTTTTATATCTGATTTCATTATGAGGGGCAGATCCAAGGCTGAAACTAATACCAAAAACTAATGCAGCTTAAAAACTAATGCAGCTAAACCAAAAGTAAAGTCACCTGGAGAATTATTCTATAACTTGAAAAGCTTTTGAAAAGCTTAGTTCGTTTTCTTCTAAATTGATAATGTCTTAGTGGACAACCAGCTAAATAGGAGCCAGCAGTGTGCAGCAGCAACCACAAAAGCTAATGCAATCCTGAGTTGCATTAACAGAGGGATACAATCAAGAACAAAGGAAGTACTAATACCACTCTATAAAGCCTTAGTAAGACCACACTGAGAATACTGCATCCAGTTTTGGTCACCACATTATAAAAAAGATGTTGAGACTCTAGAAAAAGTACAGAGAAGACCAACCAGGAAGATTAGGGGACTGGAGACTAAGGCATATGAAGAACGGTTGCAGGAACTGGGTATAGCTAGTCTAGTGAAGAGAAGGACCAGGGGAGACATGATAGTGGTCTTCCAATATTTGAGGGGCTGCCACAGAGAGGAAGGGGTCAAGCTATTTTCCAAAGTACCCGAAGGCCAGGCAAGGAATAATGAATGGATGGAAACTGAACAAGGAGAGATTTAACCTGAAAATAAGGAGAAACTTTCTGACAGAGAGAACAACCAACCAATGGAACAGCTTTGCCTTCAGAAGTTGTGGGAGTTTCATCACTTGAGACTTTCAAGAAGAGATTGGACTCCCATCTGTCAGAATGGTGTAGTAGGGTCTCCTGCTTGGGCGGGGGGTTGGACTAAATGACCTACAAGTCCCTTCCAACTCTGATTATCTGTTATCTGATAAATGTAAAATGTGTGGTTCATTTACAAGTGTGAGTAATGGATTACTTAAGTCCTCCGAGTACAGGCAATGCCCAGGACTCAGACTGCGTAAACTCCACATTAAGATTGTCCAACTTAAAAACAACCTTAAGTTACAAACAGGGTGCTTATTACTAAAGATGGCAGACCTCATTGTCTTTCTTCTAGCACGGAAGCCATGGAGTGCTTTCAGGAACTGCTGAAGTCACACATTTTTAATACACAGGTTGCTTTCAGCACTTTCTGAAAACAATGTGTGGCTACAATGGTTCATCAGCCCAAGAAAGGACAATGTTGTCTACCATTTTCAGTAATAACCCAGACCATTTGAAAGTTACAGGTTGTCCTCCACTTACAACACAATTGACCCCAAAATTCCCATTGCTTAAAGGAGACAGTTTTTAAGTGAAATTTGCCCCATTATACACTCTTCCTTGCCACAATTGCTAAATGGATCACTGCAGCTGTTAGTAACATGGCTATTTAAATGAATCTGGCTTCTCCATTAACTTCTGCTTGTCAGAAGGTTGCAAAAGGTGATCACGTGACCCCAGGACACTGCAACCGTCATAAATACATGCCAGTTGCCAAGCACCTTAATTTTGATCATGTGACCATGGGGATGCTTCAATGTACGTGTGAAAAGCAGTCATAAATCCCTTTTTTCAATGACATAACTTCGGTTACTAAATGAATGGTTGTAAGGCAAGGGGCTATCTATCTGTATGAGTTCCAATTTAAATACAAATTCAGGTTAATGACCCAGGGAATGGAGCATCTTTTTAAGCCAGAACTGCCTGTATTGTTGATCCATGTTTACAATATGAATTTTATCAGGATTTCTAACTAGACCCCTACATACAACTTGCAGGTAATGAATGAACCCTTCCCTAGGGATATGGCAATAGCACTTAGACTTATAGTACTTTACAGCACTCTCTGGGTGGTTTACAATGTAAACATTATTTGCATATTGGCCCCAACAATCTGGATTCTCATTTTACCAACCTTGGAAAGATGGAAAGCTGAATCAACTTTGAGCCGTGTCAGGATCGAACTCCAGACTGTGGGCTGAGTTTGCTTGCAGCATTGCAGTTTCAAACTCTGCGCCACCAGGGGCAGCAGAATTATTTCAGCAGAAGCAAGACAGACCCCCTAAGTTTGAATGTTTTCCTCCACAGATCGCTGCTCAGGTGGGGCATGCAGCAATTGGTTTGTTCCAGCTGGTGCACGAAAAGCCAAGTCAGAGGGGCATGATCAACCAATGGGACGAGCATGGGTAAGGGAATAAGGTTTGGCTATCTTTTACGAGGTTCTGTTAAACGTAGTTGCTTAATTATATGCGTTGGTTTATACTCAGATTTGCACAGGATGGCAAGCTTTTTTTTTTTTGCTTTACAAACTACAGCAGCTGCTTCTCATATAATGCAGTTAAATCAAAAGCAAATAAACCACTTAGTGGCTTAGTGTGTTGCAGTAAGCCACTAAACTTGAATGAGCACAGTTTAGGATTAAGCAACTTAAATTTCCAAGTGGATGGATACATGGGATGTGCTAAAGCTGATACCAAGGTAATAAAATAGAGTGTCTGTGTTAATATAATAGGATGCCTGGCTAGGAAATTCTGGGAGTTGAGGTCCACACATCTCAAAGTTGCTGAGTTTGGGAAACACTGCTGTAGGCTATAAAGCATCTTGAAAGCCTGTCCAAAAATTTTTCTGTCTCATTCCATGCTGAACAAAATCAAGGAAGTTATTTTACGCTTCAATTCCTGGTCCATATCATCTTTCCTACAATTAATGGTTCATATGTTCCCCCAAATTATCTTTTAATTCTTTTATATTACACAAATTAGGGTGCAAACCAACCACGACTTAGGGTATTGTTTAGCTTCAGGGTCTAGGCCGGAAACCCAAATGGGATTCTTCGGTGTTCAGTCTCAGTTTCTGTTCATAAATGAAGCTTGGTTAGAAGGAAATCCTCTGCTTTTATTCATAAGATATACAATAATGCAGCTTGGTTGGCCGTGGCTTAGTATGTTGTATAAGCCCAGCTACTTTGGTTTGTAAGCCATGATTTATTTAGAACAGGCAACAGTTTGTGAACTAAAGTCAGTTGTGTTCATTGATAAAATTTGGTTCTGTGAGTTATAAGTTTTTAGGGTGGCATTTTTAACTTCAGTAGCTTTTGCAGGGGCAGGGCTGATAAAAAGGGTAAGCTCCATTTGAAGGCGTCTGCTTTGGGGGTGATATTTCTCTGCGGACCACCAGTGGTCCCTAGCCCACTGGTTGGCGACCACTGTTCTAGATGGTTTAAGCCCCGTATATTAAAAAAGAGCCAGAGATTTGCCTCTCTTGATCCAGAGGTGATTTGAAGGGGCATAAATGGAGACTTTCAAAAAGAGACTGGACAGCCACTTGTCAGAAATGGTATAGGGTCTCCCAGGGATGGGATATGACAGGGTTAACTACCAGTTTGGGATTTACAAGCTTCCCTGCCCAATGCGCGTTAATCGAAGCAGCCTTTGAAACAGCCCTCTTTTCTTGTTTTTTTAACTGCAGCTGTGCCTCGTTCGGCAGCTGAAGTTGAAAAATCAGAAAATAAAGATCAGGTAAGAGCCCAGGTGGGCGGGTGGGCAAAAACATCAGCAGACATAGAACTGGTTCTATGTCTGCTGCTCTTCAGAGCTACCGGTTCTACAGAGGTGGACAGAACCGATAGAAACCCACCCCTCGGGTCTCCTGTTTGAGCAGGGGGTTGGACTAGATGACCTACAAGGTCCCTTCCAACTGTGTTATTCTGTAAATGTGGTGTAGGGATATCCTCTGGTTTATTTGTTGTGGTGGTTGATTGATACATCATGCTCAGCCATAAATTAACCTCTAAAATGCAGTTTACATAAAATATTCAAATCCACTTTTCTGGAAGATAATTGGGATATTTGCCAGTCAAAAGGTGTAGACTTCAGCGCATGCAAGTTTTCGTCCAACTGCTTTTTACAATTTGTTTTAATTAGACTCATAGCCAAGCAGACAACATGTAGCATGGCTATGGTGGTCTTACAATGAAGTATGCTTTGTCCTTCTTAGTGCAAAAAAAGTGGTCCTTCAGGGAGTCAACACAGACCAGTTGCTGGAACTGCACGCGCTCGCCCTGAGTCTAGAATTGCCAACATACCTAGTGCAAGATGCCGGAAGGACACAGGTAAATCAGTTATTCTGGGGGGAAAAAAAATTGTATCTCCAAAAATATCTCATCCTGAACTAAGCAAACTGCTGGCTGTTGCTTTGTGATGGGAGGGTTGGAATTCATGCCATAGTTTATGAATCATGCGGACGGAGGACATTATCAGAACCTGAGAGAAAAAAGCTTGAAACTTTTTGCCTGTTTTATAAGAAAGTGTTTTGAGAAATACTGCTACTCCTTGACTTACAATCTGTCGCTTAGCAACAGTTCCAAATTATGTCAGACCCCTCCCTCAAAAGCTTCTTACGATGCAGTTCCAAAGTTACAACATCACATGACTGCATTTTGGGTGCTACACAACTAGCCTGCATTTGTGGTATCCCGTGGTCATGTGACCATGGTTTACTTTTTCACAGAAACCACTGTGTACATCCAATTTCCAGGAAAAAAAATGTTCATTGCGAACATTGAGCTTGCTTAACAAATGTTGCAAAAAAAAACAAGTTGTAAAATCAGGTGATGACCTGCTTTATGACCATCAGCCTTACAACTGTAATTGCCAAATTCCATTGTGGTCATAAGTCGAGGACTACCTGTATGTACAGGGTAATAGGTGTAGAGCAATTGTAGATTTCTCTTGAACAGAGATGTTTTGGCACTTACAGTGGAACCTCGGGTCATGACTGTAATCTGTTCCCAATACTCGGGTCGTGAACCAATTTGGTCGTGTCCGGAAGCATGACCGACTGTGCATGCGCACAGTAAAAAAAAAAGGCGCCTAAGGAGAAATTGGCGTGGAAAGGGAATCTTTCCACGCCAATTTTTTCACCACCTGATTTGGTCGCAAACAGGAGCGTTCGTGACCCGAGGTTCCACTGTACTTATCTAAAAAACATATCTGGCCACCTATCTTTAAAAAATACAACTCTGGCTTTACACAAGTCTTGTGAACTGCCCAAACTTAGTTAGAAACAAAAACCTGGGACTTGATTAATATTTCAGTTAAAAATTATTTGTAGGTCTTTATATCGCTTTCTAGGGTAATTACTTTAGACCGCAGCATTTTATTGACACTGTTGAACAAGAATGAAAAGACAATAATTCAGCTCTTATTTATGCATTTGAAAGCAACTTTCCTCCCAGTTGATACTGGAAACCAAATGTGATGGAATACAGTGGACTGAATTCCCAGGAGGGAAGGAGAGCATTCCAGGGGAGTAAGAGACAGCTGCAGTCCAGACATTTTGTGTGGGAGAGAAAGAGGGTGAAGATAGTCCCTCCCTAATAGTTTTCAGAACATGTTATAGGTGCAGAGAGTAGAATGCTTCGGTTTAGCAGAATTCTGTCTTGAGGTGTGGAACAATGAAGAATGCATCTTAGAAGAATCATCACATATCGTTCTTGGGTTTGGGGCCCGACACCAAATCTTAACATCGGTTGTCTGTCTCCAACCTTGACATTCTATGCCCGACAGTTAGAATAATCGGTCAGTGGAATGAAGTTCTGGGTGCTCCAACATTGGAAGTTTTTAAGAAGAGATTTGTCTGAAATGGCATAGGGTTTCCGGCCTAAGCAGCAGGTTGGACTGAAAGACCTCCAAGGTTCCTTCCAACTCTTGTTATTCTGTTATTTTGCCCCCTCAAAAATGACAAGGTAAAACAAATACTTCAATGGAGCTGGGTTTCAAAAAAAATTTTTTTTAAAAAAAAGTTTCTACCTTGAAGTACCATAGACTTCTTGAGGATGTATGAGTGAGAAACCGTGCTGAAGAAACTGATTTGGGTGTGTTTTCCAATCCTTTCCCTCCCCAAATTTATCCACACTCATCAGCATTTGTAACGGAAGCACTGAATAATATTAAAACGGATTTCTGCTATTGGCCTCCGCTATCCCCTTTTACAGGGATATTTCAGTAAGAATTGCATTACATCCTGCAAATTCATTTACATACCTGTGTAAATCAGCCAAGTCATATCCCAAAGATGCTTTTTCCAAAAGACAACTGGGCTTTCTTGTTTGTTTGTTTTTCTCTTTGAAAATAATTCGCTTCTCGTGTAAGAAGCTTCTTCAGTTCTTCAGAAAAATCGAGAAAGTGTAGCTGCCTTTTGGAAAAAGCACCTTTAGGGCAACCATGGCAGGGATGACTAAGAAGCTCCATAGACATTTAGCCAAGTCATAGTTAAGGAGCACTGGGGAAACCAGAGTAGGTTCTCACGGCATCTGCACAGTATGCAAAGCCGATAAAGGAGAAGGTTTGTAGGTTGAAATGAAGGATTCCTTGCTGCTCTCTGAGCTTGGGTTGCTTTCTTGGAGATGTTTCATTACCCAAACTAGATAACATTCATCAACATTCCCCACTGATGATGTTACCTAGTTTGAGTAACGAAATGCTTGCAAGAAAACAACCAAGCTCAGAGACCGCTTAAAAGAGAAGCTACAACTGTTCTGAACTCTCATTCATATTGCATGTATCCCCTCATGAAAAATAAATATCCTTCTTTTCTTAGGTCCCAGCTGGGTCACAGACAGTCCTTGCCATCATAGGAGAAGAAGAGCTGGTGAATCAGGTGACTGGGCAGCTAAAACTGCTGAACTGAGAAGTTGTGGAGTTTGGCTGTCTGTGGGATCCCAGGGGGAGACTTTCAAAGCCATCTCTTCCTCTGCCAACAACTCAAGAAACCACCCGAGCAGAACAGAAACCCCAAAAGACAGCTGTCTTTTGTAAGAGGAGCTTTCTTCTAGACAACGGAAGTGATTGTTCTCCTGATCCAGATTTCTAGTGGGACTCTCAAGGGGGTCTGTGTGAAAGTGGGGCCCCTTATTCTTCACCATTTATAACCAAGCTGCTCTATATAAGTAATGCTTTGGTGGTTTCAGTTAAGGGGAAACAGCGAGGATCATCCAAGGTTGCCTTCCCCTCCTGATGCCCTTCAAAAGTATTCATATAATCCATTAACCCCAGTCAAGTTTGGTCACCACCACCCCTCCCCATCTTCCCCAAGTGAGAAAGTGCAGGTTACTCTAGTATATAAATTCTCACACCATTTGGGTATCTTGTGCCAAGAGTATATCACACTTTTTTTTTTCCTGTGATGTGAAAAGGAACAAGTGTTGCAATCTTTGGAGAGCTTTATCTGACTTATCTTGCTAGTAGCCTCTGGAGAGCCAAAGGATGGTTGTTCCTGTTTAGAAGGCTGTAAACTTCTCTGTTTAGCTAGTATATATTGTAATTGATGGTGTCTGTCCGTATCTTATTTTTAACTTCCACAAGTGGGCTGTATCTTGCTTTATGACGTCCTTTGTGTCAATTTCCAAATGGCTTTGAAAAACTGGATTTTCAAAGCAACGCTAGTCCTGTTCAGATGTTTCTGTTAACAAATAGCTGAATTAAATTGCAGTAGTCGTCATTGGGGAGAAGGAAAACGTGCAGCAACATGAAGGTTTAGATTTTCCCATCTTAAAATAGCCCTTTTTAATGTTTGTGTCTTTGTTCTCAAAATATTAAGAACAAGAAAAACCAAGATTATGTAGCAGGTCTGTGACAAGTGTCTTTTTCTGTATCTTTGTTAAAGTGATAACATTATTTCCTGGGCTTTTTCCAATGCTGGTCCGATAACTCCTTTCTTTGCCAGTGCTAATTTTTGCATAGATCCCCCCAAGAGTGGAAATTCTAGGTTTATGTGTTCTGATGCTAGGAATGACGGGAGAATTTCAGGAAAACCTGAACGGCAGAGTTTAGCTTTTTTTAAGGAATGGCTGATATTGATCAAGTAGCAGCTAATGTAGTGTGTTCCAACCTAGTTACAAGCTTTTCTCCCTGACATTTTTAACCACCCGGCAATCTGAAATTTAATACGTGTCATTTTCCCCCTCAGTTTTTAGAAAACTTAAGGGTTGGATTTTTTTGTGTTTCATTAGCTCCTCCGGCTATTAACTGTCCATACATGCTATACATTTTGTGATGCCTTGCACCGCTTAGTGCACGCTGATGAAATAGTTGTGCGCAGATGATGAAATCTGTGCAATCTGCTGTACAAAGTGATTAGGAAAATAAGAGGACAGAGCCTCTAAATCATTTGAATGACTTTTAACTATAAAGCATCATCAGTGGTTGGCAACGGATCGGCCAGAGGGAGCCCCAGGCATACTGGGGCATGGATAAATTTACCTCAACTTGCAACCAGATCAATTTGAAGGTCAGACCATCTATTTGCTTACAGGAATGGCGTCATTCTAAAGCTGCACGAATATCTCATTTGTGCAGCTGATGAGGCTGATATTTTTTTGGGGGGGGGGGGGGGGTTGCCTTCAAAACACACCATAGTACTGTGATTTGGCCTACTACCCTGGCCTTCTTTCTTGAGTCATATGGGAGTCTGAAGCTCTTGAGGAGGAGGGGCTCCCTTCCCCCCTCTTCCAATAGAAATGTTGGTCTCTCTCTCTTTCTCACCGTGCCATTGAAGTATTTTGCCACACATATTATTGGCAGGAGCCCACATTGCAGACCAACAGGGAAAGACAAAAAAAAAAGCTGCAAGTAGGTTAAGAGCCTCTTGAAATAAAGACAACATGTTTATGGCTGAATCATAAACCCCCAATGGTCTGGAGTGACTTTGTAAGAGCAAGTCCCCAGCTGGTGGGGATCCAATTGACTTAAGTTTATGCAGCTACAAAGTAAAGAAACAAATTGCCTCGGCTATTTTGGTGAAGCTGGGAAAGGAGGCGGCATATTCTCTTTCCTTTGCCTTTTATGTTCCAAAGCATTAACTGGATCAGGAAAGTACAAATAAGCTGCCAATTAGAAGAATGTAAAGGCTTTTTGGAAGGAAGGGAGAGGGGGGAAAATTAGTAAAACATAACTCCAATCTAAAAGATTTTGCCGGTGACCCATTCATACTTTATTTTAAATAGCCAAGGTTACAAGCGTTTGTGGAATCTTGATGTTTACATGAGAGGAAATCCCACTTAGATTCCATACACTCAAGTAGAACTGTGATGATTGCTACTACAACCTACTTCTTCTCTCCCTATTGTTTCACCGCCTCTTTCTACAAGACTGAGACTGAATTCAGTTCTGCCCTCTTAACACCAGGGTGGTGTGTAGGGCCAACACAGCCATCTCCCTTTATATTTAGTAATGTAAACAATAGCACTCGGGGAAAATCAACATTAGTTGTTACTATTTGGGGATTGCTAGCAGAGGTGACTTCACCCAATGTATGGGGTTGCACTAGCTACAGCTGAGCAGTAGGTAATGTGCAGCCAAGGAAATCTGAAGGCTGATTAATCGGGTAACTATGTGCCCTCTGAACAGATTTCTTACTACACTTGCAGAATGCTCTTGCTAGGGCCTTCCATCTTTATCCCTTAACCAAATTCACACAGCGCGGCATAATTTGAAATGCGTGCAGGCTTCCAGAAGTTACTGTTACACAATTGCAAATACCAAACTTTTTTTTAAAAAAAAAAAAACCATGCCTGACAAGACTTGATGGGTGGCATAATTTCTTGAAAGCTACCAAATAGATGTGTGGTCACTTAGGCAAAGTAATTAGTGAATTCTCAAGGCATGAACTTTATTCACACTGCAGTAATAATTGCATATGGCATGTGTATTTAACTAGATCAATAGTGGTCTTAACACACAGTATAATCCTGCAAACCCAGGTCTTTCCTGGTTATAAGGTCAAAATTCCATTCTATACTCCAGGTTTAACATTCCTCGTCAGCTGAACCTGGGAGAGAGGATTCTTTGAAGTTAACAGCATGGAAATGGGCATCTTGAGCAGCCTGAAAAAAAAATTTTTTTAAATCCCACCCCCACCCAAATGGGCTTGGTTCATGCAGCACATTAGACTAAGATGGGGCTAAGCTCAGTTTAGCTGAGCTTTATATGAACTGAGCCACCATATATTAAACTATAATCTGCTCTGTGTGCTGTTTGAACAAGGCATGTGAACACAGCAATTATATCTTGTTAACCAAGGTCTAGGATGTTATCTGAACCCAGCCTTGATTTCTTTGGATGTCTGCCACAAGATAAACAAGTTATTCAATGGTAGTGCTAGACAGGATAAGGTATGTTATGTGCACACACCCAAGAACCAGTTCTCCCTTTTAAGCTAAGTATAGACCTGAAAAGTTGCTTATTTTTGCTATAAGAGGCTAAACCTTTTAATGTATTCTTGCACCAAGGCCCAGATTGATTTGTTTAGTAACAAAAAGATGCTCCAATGGTCTTGGACCATGCATCTAAGCCAACCAGCATTAAAAAAAACTTAGAGGATATATAACAATGGAGATATAGGCTTACCCAAGGGCAATACTGCATGCATTTAAGTGGCATCTCCCTCCCCAGACCAAGGTAAGGGCATCCAGTAGCAGATTCTGGGGAAGAACTGATTGCCTTTAGCCTGGCATGCTGGTGCTAACCAGGAAGAGGATTCCATTGATTTTTTATTTATTTACAGTAATCTCTGTATCGCCTAGTCAATAGACTAGATAAGACCAGTCAACATTAAAAAAAAGCCACACACCGTGCTTCATGTTAACAGTAGAAACTATTCAAGTTTATTATTTCTCACACAAACTGACTCCAGACAATGTAACATACTGCAAACCAATTAAACCAGTAAGCATCACAAGTGGGAGAGAATATCATACATGATGCAGCCATAGATGAGCTCCTTACCACCAGGGGATCCTCAGATGTTTAAAAAAGCGTATTTTAAGGCAAGGGCCCCAACCCACTGCCAGGCCTTGGCATATTTGGAACTGGGCCGCACAAACGGCAGTCTGGCACAAGTGTGCGCACAGCTCCACTCGTGCAAGCAGTGGGCCAGCAGTCTAACTAGGCGTGAATGTGTATTGGCCTGCTGCTCACACAAGCAAAACTAAGTCTGTTGGCTTGCCACTCATGCGGCCCAGTTTCCCCCCGCTCCCCAAAGCTGGGCCACCAAGCCCCAAAGGTTCAGGACTGCTGTTTTAAGGTCTTTACAGAAAGCCATAAGCCTATGTTGTAGAGGGTGGGTGCACAAAGCAAAAAAAAAGCTTCCCTCCTAGGTCCCATCAGATGGAAGTCTTTTTGCAGACAGGATCCACAGCATGCCATCTCCTTTGGGATGGGTAGATATAATTGGGAAGGGCCAGTCTCTTAACCTGGCCCCACACGCCAGGTCAAAATCAGCATCTTGATTTGGAAGCAAAACTGGTCACGAAGTAGAGATCTAAACGCATATCCTCTTAGCGGCACACACCCAACTGCTGAGGCCGCTGCATTTTGCACCAGTTTAAATTAAAAATTACAGTTGCCGATAATCCACTGGTGGATTTCAACAGGAAGACTTTACACCCAGTTCTGAATCAGAAGCTCTACGTGCCACGAGGGGTCGACTCCCAGCCATTCCTTTAGTAACCATTCATTCCGTGACAGTAGCACTGAAAAAAGTGACATGTCCAGTTTTCAGACGATCAAAATCCAGGCGCCTGGCAACCGGCATGTATTTATGATGACTGCGTTGATCACCATCTGCAACTTAGATGGCTTTCGATAAGCAATGACGACAGGGGAAGCCAGATTCACTTAACTGCACTGTTATAGTGAATGCTTAACCGCTTAAGAAATGTGGCCAAGAAAGGTCATAAAATGAGGTGCGACGCACTCAACTGCCTTGCTCGGCAGCAGAAATGTCAGGATCAGTTGTGGTTGTAAGTCGACACTCCTGAGGGCAGCGCATTCCGTAATATGGTAACATCATGTATGCATAGGTAAGTTTGCCAAAATAAAACTAAAGAACCTATTCAGTGTGAGTTTTTGTGAAGGCAGGCAGCTTTTAAAAAGAGATAGGACAACCATTTGTCTAAAGTGGTATAGGGTTTCCCGCTTGAGCAGAAGAGGTTGGACTAGAAGACCTTCCCAGGTCCCTTCCAACTCTTATTCGTTCAAAATTATCTCGATCAAAATTATCTGGATCAGCTGCCCATAAGGACATTTCAGCCACCAGATGTCTCTCCTCTCTGCTGGGCCATAGATAACAGTCAACAGCTGTGCCAGTTTCCTGTTCACCACATCCTGGCGGCAGCAGAGGTTTCTCTTGCATTGTGGGTCTGAAATAGGAGGGAGGAACACGGCTGATGTGGGATTTTTTTTTTCCTTCAAAAAAGGGAGGTGGGGGAAGCACAGTATCTCAGCCCTGCAGAAGGCAGGCTTTTAAAGCATTTCCTGTGCTGGTCCTAAGGCCACTACAGCCATCCATTTGTATAGTCAGATGCGTACCAAACAATACTGTTTTAAGAGACATCAAACTCCATAATCCCTAGATCAAAAATTGCTGTACTTTTTTTCTGATTTATTGGGGGGGGGAGGCAAAAACGTGATTGCACAGGCTTTTGACAGATATCAATCCTCCTCTCTCCCAAGTACCTCATCCCCACATGACAGAAAACAGAAAAATGTCCTCAGATTTTGTTTCTAGCTTTAAAAAGCAGTCCTCAAACAAAAACAATGCCGTATACATATATTGCATCGTGTGTGTGTGTGTGTGTGTGTGTGTGTGTAATCACTAGCAGACTACAAGAATTTGGTTTTCTAGCCACTATTCTTTAAGACTGCCAACACAAAATACGTAAGGAAACCCCAATGGCTGCAGAGT